CCAGCACCGCCGCCACCGCCACCACCACCACCACCACCACTAAGACTGCTACAAGTACTACTGCGACTACTGCTGATGCTGCTACTTCTACCACAACAACTACTAACTACCACTACTGCCACCATCACCACTACCAAAACGATGACGACTGCACTAGTGCCAGTATTGCCATTGCTGTTGTTAGCCGAAACTCCGGCAACTGCTCCCGCAGGAACTGGCCTGCCGAAGTACAGGACTCGGCTGACCTCTTCTGGGAGTCAGTCGACTGAGTATTTTGTTCCCGAGACTTTAGAAATCTGGCCGTGGTGGAGTGAAGTGCAAGGGAATCATATGAGCCTCATAAGTCATAAGGGTTTTTGGGCACTTGCTTTTTGGGCTGCTTGAAGGCTCCACCTGGCCATAGGCTCGCAGCCTTCGGCCCTCAGGGCCACCTCGATGTCACATGAGATCACAAGTTCAAACCTCCTGCCCTCTAGCGCAGCTTTCGGATCACTGTTCAGCGGCGAGAGCCAAGCGCCGGGCAAATTAATTGGGAGCCGAGCTTTCGGATGTCATTCTCCATGCTGGTATGACGCCCGGAAAGGCAGCACCCCAGTGCAGCAGGGCATTGCAGGGCACTTCCCAGCAGCGTTGAAAAGAGAGAACCTTTGGTCCCACGGGGCCAGCGACCCATAAAGGATTGTCGCTACTTGCGCCTTGTCAACTCCAAAAGGCAGTGGTAGTTATCACCTTGCCTAGAAGGATGTCATGGAGGAATGACCTCCTTGTGAGTGGCATCAGCAGCTCCTATAATAGGCCTAGGCTTGAAGTTGATTCTGAAAAAAAACCCTTAGCCTTAGCTGCTTCTTTATAAGACAATCTTCTGGTAGCACATGAGGGAGAGATACGGCCAAACAATCTACAGTAGGCCAAAACTGAGTACTGAGTTTCTCAGAGCGTTCGGATTGAGATGTAAGTTCCCTCGAGCCTCAGTAGTGGCACCGTGGCTGTTGCAGGCTTGTTTGGATAGTCAAGCTGAAGGCTTGCGCTCCCCGATGGCACTCACAAGTGGCCCTTCCGGCATGTTTCTTTCTGCATGACAAGCGTTTATGCAGCGTCGCACAGCGGAAGAGATTCTGACAAAACGTGGCCATTCAATAGGTTTACCTAGGCACTAAGCATCCGAGTAAGATGCTACTTGCCGGCGGCTGCACTTAAGAAAAGGCGAGATGCTTGTAGAAGCGACTTGCCGGTGTTCCGCAGCTTTGTTACGGAGAGCAGAGAAACATGATAAGCTCCTTGTAGTGGCTCGAAAATCATAGCAGCACCGACTCGCCTCAACCCGCACATTCAAACAGAAATCGGGTTGACAGACCATCAACTCCGACGTGCTAGCAACAAGTGCTTCGATGAATCATGTCCCCAGGACGGAAGACTGCCAAAATCCCTGAGTCTAAAAAGACCTCAGGCGGCGATCCCATGAGGTACCGCCAAAGCCTGCTTTCCAAGTGCTGTGGCGAGAAATGGCAGAGCAAGCCTCAGGTTATCTGGCATCTTGGACTATGCATGGGATTCTTGTCACCCCAGAACTCAGAACTTGGCTGGACCTATCTATGATCACCAAGCATGTTCTCCAGGGTTTCCAGAATCTCGCAGCTATACACAGAACTGAGACAAAACTTCAAAGCCACATGCTGGAGGAGCGTGCAGCTGGGCTTGAGGGGAGTGGTCTGCAAGTAGAGTGGGCAGATTCGATGGCAAATAACACGGCATTGAAGGCGTCTGAGCCGGGACCTGACAATCGTTTCAGGGATCTAGGGCCTCTAGGGCTTTGGGGTTCGTCGGGCTGTCTAGGGTCTATCCGTGATGATCGTCTCTCTTTGCCAGTAAGACCGCTTCCCGTGCTATGTCACTGCAAACTAAGAGCCGCCATGCCACTGCGTGGGCATACCGTTGCGGAACTATCGCCAGTGCAACAGCCTTGACATTGATTAGACGTTGCATCGTCATTGGCTATTTAAGTTTGCAGCAGGAGCAGGGTGAGCCTCTCCGGTCTTCTTGCCTTGTACGTTGACATCTGTAGCACAAATTCCTGATTCATTCAATGCTTTCGTGAGTTTCACTGTAATCGCGTCGCTTCCGGGCTTCGACGCGTTCATGTTGCTCTGTCGATGATGCTTCAAGTGACTGAACTTTGCTGGAGGTTCATGCTAGTGAGGGCTTAGGTGTTTGCTCCAGCGTGTATGTTGTCCGGTATTGCATCAGCATTTATATGAGTACAACAAGTGCAAACTGGTGCCATACGACTCATGGCACTGAAACCTGTATAAAGTCTTGCCGGGAAATTACGAGTGTTTGCAGAGAGCTGGAAGAAGCTTCACATCGTCCCGGAGCCTGCCTCCGAACCTCTCGTCCGCTCACAACCTTGGACACAGATGGGAGTCTTTTCAACACTTAGCGTTTTGCAGGTTTAGGCTTTAGGGTTGTGAAGTCCATGAGCTAGGGTGGAGGCATCCCCCAGCCGAATCAGAGTTGCGGAATGCTGCGGCCCAAGGCTTTTCAAAGTCGCGTACCGTCAGCCGAGATACACACACATGCATGTACTTATGAGAGAGAGAGAGAGAGAGAGAGACAGAGAGACAGAGAGACAAAGGGAGGGAGGGAGGGAGGGAGGAAGAGAGAGAGGGAGGCAAAGAGAGAGAGAGTGCAGTGAGAGTGGAAAAGAGAGAGACAGAGAGAGCGAGAGAGAGAGAGAGAGACAAAGAGACCAGAGACAGAGCGAGAGAGACAGAGAAAGAGAGAGAGAGCGAGAGAGAGGGAGGAGGAGGGGGGAAAGAGATTAGAGAGCGCACGAAATGCTTGTTCTAAGGGGTTTTGGCTATCGTAGCCTGCCGCCAAGCAACCAGCATCCTTTTGGGGGCGCCCGCCATATCCATCGGCATCTGACGGCACATTCTGGGCCTAGCAGCCGCAGGCACTTGCAGTTGGTTCGAGTATATAGTCTCGGCGTGCTGAGGCTCCCTGTGGACACCGAGGGTACAATATCCTCGCTGCTTGCACCCTCACGAGCCCTGTATAGTCTGTGCATGTCTGCGTATTCTTCGAATAGTATTTTTTCTTGCGCAGCGGCTGGGGACAGACCAATCCAACCACCCCTCCCCTTCCCGCTCTCTTGACCTGCATACACGAACGGACACTTGAAGGGCTTGGAAGGCAACTTGCGCCTGAGACCTTTGCAGGAGCTCTGCTGTGACGTAGAGATTCACGGCCAGCATCCTCACAACTCCGGCAGCGGATGTGTCGACTTGGTCTACCAATCCAAGCTTGGTGCAAAGCTTCTACTCTATGATGGGTGAGAATCGTATGGTGTTGTCTAATTAGGCATGATAGTGTATGGCCAATTAAACTATTACCACCGATAATGCTGTTGTTTGCTGTCTTTCTGTGTCTTATTCTCGAACGGTGGCGCCATCAAACTCGCCTGTCGACACAAGAGTAAGATATCCACATCCTGTCATCCTGTTAGAAGGAAAAAGTTGTATCATGCATGCGATGCTCCTTTTTTGTCATGTGTTGTTCTGTTGTAGCAATATAACGTAGCAATATAACCTAGCATGTTGAGATTATCCTAGTGTCATGCTTGCTGTTGCTCAGTTACTGTGACAGCTGATGTTGCTCCAGTTTCTGTCGATGATCTGTCTTGTGTGCCGCCTACCGTCTGCTATGTGCTGTTCGTGTTGATAGTTTGTGTACTATGCAAAGCTTATGATTTGGACATCCGTTGTACCGCCAATGTACCTTCGATCGCAGGCAAGGCACAGCGGCACAGGAGTGCCAGCAATAAAGATTCGAGGAGCACCTCGACCGAAAGGCGATGGCTCTCAGCAATATGGGCCAATGTTGTACCAGAGATTACCAGAGTAGCACCACCAGTCACTCAGGCTCCAAATGAGTCATCGCAAGTTAGTCATCTAAATATCCAGCTCCTAACTTAAGTGTCTCTTCAGGACCAGAGAACCTGGGGTTGTTTCTTCTCGCAATAATCTACCAGAGTCAGCAATGAATAGCTACATGGAAACGAGGCATGGTGAATGTCTGGGGATGCCACCTGGGTCCTGGATGGCATCGTATCCAGATTTCGCGCAGAAGAGAGCCAAATTTGGTCCCAAACCTTTCCAAGGCTTTTGTTTGCTGCTTTGGAGCCTCTGAGAATCGGGCAGCGCAAAGATACATGGATCTCAATGCAGATGGGACCCTACTGGCCTTGGAAAACCGCCGGCTTCACATAGCGGAGGCCACTGGATTCCGAACTCACCATCCGGCTGAGAATACAATGAGCTACTGCACATTGCTCCTGACTGACGAAGTTGATTATGGCCAACTTCGGCCAGGGCAAGTACACGAAGTCGAAGGCCCTCGTGCCCTGACGGAGGCAACAAAAAGTGGCAAAATTATCATGCTTTACTAGGTCATAACTATGTTGGCAGAAACCTATGTTTTCGGACTTTGTGTGGGGGGTACGTGTATGGAGGTATGTCTGTAGATATGTATGTGCGTACGTACCTGTGTATCTTTGTTGCACATATGTATGCACACTTGAATGCAGGTATGAATGCATGCATGTATGCATGTATGCAATTGCATATGTCTGTACGAACGTGTAGACACCTGCGCAAACTGATGTCATGCGGATTCGGACATACATAGTTCGTACATACGTACATACATACATACATACGTGCGTACATACATACACACCTGCATGCATGCATGCATGCATGCATGCATGCATGCATACATACATATACACACGCATACATACACGTATACAGGCATACGCCCATACATACACGCATACAGGCATACAACCCCCCTACTTGCAGATGTGCTTCCGCGCAGGAACCAACAAACAAGCTACCACATATGCATGTGCGCATGTGCATCTTTATATACACACCGGCTTGTAGTCAATACATGCATGCTTATGCAAGCAGTGTGGATAATTGCGCACCCCGCCTTCCTTCTCCCTCATTCCCTCCCTTTGCCTCTCCGCGTCAAGTGCACACCGGGTGCCAATGGTGAAGCACCGACGAGGCAAATCGGATTTTGTTTTTGTCTCTTTCTCTCAGTCTCTCTCGCTCTCTCTGTCTCTCTCACACACTCCCGGTTGTCCCCATTCGTCGTGCCAGGGCCGAGATGGACAACCAACCAGCGCCGGCCTTGTCGGCGTCGGGCGGTGCCGTGATGACAGCGGAGGCAATAATCTCTGTTTTTGCATACCAGACTTTCACCGTGCCAAATTCAACCTCCAACAACCTGCTGTCCCCCGATGTTTCGAGGATAAGTCGTTTGACCTTCCGCGCAAACTGTGCTCTGCAGCGCCGCTCCGGGCTTTCGCTCATGGCGGCCCACATATATCGTTCTCCCCATTTGGGGACGTTCACCAGTGATCACTTTGGCTTCGCGAACTGCTTGAAGTGCATCTGGAACTCGACGACGGAAATCTGCTGTGGGTTCTCCACTGCAAGCTGCGATCGGCACGATGGCGAAGCCTCGCCGAATCCCTGGCACGAAAGCTTCCGCAAAGTCCAGGTCGCAACGGAGTTCAGAGAGGTGCTGCTTTACACGACGTAGTGTGTCCTCTGCACTCTGATCGGAATCCCATCCCCCGACCACAATGGCTGGCCTTGGATGAGGGTCCCCATCTGAAGTTTTCGTGCTTGAGCCAGAAAAAGCGGCGGTTGCGAACTTGCCCTCGAGCATTTCCAACCGGCGACACAACTCCTGATGGCCCGAGGCAACGTTGTTGACCGTCTGTTCAAGATGGCATTGACGGTCGGTCACAGCGGCTGTCATAGCGTCTAGGAGCTCAGTGGTGCGTTTGTTCCTCCCATGTTGGCCTCGCGATGTCCTAGTCGTGCCAAGGAATCTTGCAAGGAATCTGTTACCTGTGTTGCTGATAGACATGGAGGGCCTGCTAGAGCAAAGCCAGAGTAAGCGGTTGTTCCCCCCGATTGGCCTCATCGTTGTCGGTCTCCAGCTGCTCTCGGGCTCGTTTGGGTGTGCCTTGGTCCCTTGGTGCAGATAGCTCACGATCTCTGAGGTCAGGTAATCGACGTTCGAGGAAGAGGTCCCCCCGGTCGATTTGGTAGGAGCTGAGTAGGCTCGCCGATTGCGAAGACGAAGTTGAAGTCAAAGTTCTCAAGGGTCAGCACAGCGGCGGTCACCCTCCGGGAACGATGCACAACTATCTCNNGGAGCTGAGTAGGCTCGCCGATTGCGGCCGGGTACCTGTGGACAAACCTTTTCGCACTCCTCGCGGAAGCAGCGACACCGATGTGGAACAAACTTGCCGAGGTCCCCCGAGCGGGCGAGGTTGATGAAGACGCGTAGTAACTGAGCAGGCAGGTTTTCACACCCTAGATTCGAACGCGGATGTATCTCGGTGGAGACGTCTGGGCACGGGGCGACGCCTTGAGCACTCGTGGCTTGAGCCAAA